TCACAAACACAATGGCAGCAGATTCTCCCTTGATAATCCAAGCTCCTGGTTTAACCGCAGTGCTGATCCTTTGATGCCCTTTTGCATTTTACCTTAAATAATCACATGCATTAATCCTGTGCAGATTCAGTGTAAAGCATGGGCAACTCAGAATGGTAGTATTGTAACACCTTTTTCCATCGCATGGAAATGATCGTGCTGGTGTAAAACAGTAGAGAATCAGGGTCTTTGTGCCTTTTCTAATCAACTGTGGTTGTTCAGCAAATGCATATAAATTGACCATCATTTTTTAAAATGTATTTAGTTCAGGTTTATGAATATTTGACATGGAACATAGAGTAGGTTAGGAGGACTGTTTCACCTTGTACTTTGCTAATAGAAATGCTTTTAAATCTGATTTTACAGTATCACTAATTCCAAATGTTAAAAAATCATGAATTTTTTGGGGTGATATCTTTTATTGAACTGACTGTATAGTTGGGATAAAGTTAAGCAAGCTTTTAGATGGCAGACATTCTTTATCAGTTCTGATGAAGAATGCCTTGCACTCAAAAGCTTGTTTAACTTTATCCCAACTCCAAAGTCGGTCCAATAGAAAATATCACCCTAAAAAATTCTTGCCTTTTGCATAATTTCTGGACCATCAAAGCTACAACTTCACTCTTCGGTTACCAAAAGTCATGAGTCAGATCACATGCAACCATAATACTGCCTTTAAAATCATGAGCGCTTGACAGAGAAAGAGATCTATTTATTTATTTATCTTCTATTTTGAAAGCCTTTAGGACTCGATCTACCCAGATTGTCTAATTGTTCTCTCCTACCTTAGTTAGGCACTTACTGTTGTTTTTGAAAATTAAGATTTATATGTAACTACTTTCCTATAGGTAATTGAGTTTTAAGAAAAACACCAAATATCACGAAACTTGCTAATAACATGATAGTTGTCAATAATTATTTTATTCTGAGATAACTCACAGCATTTTTATAGAGCTATTTATGCATTGATTCACTTGCTTAATTCTTCTGAGGATGCTTGTGGCCACTGTCATCATTTGTTTCTTAATTTCCCTTTTAACATCAAGGAAATGGAATTTAAAGATACCAAATGTTAGCTTTCTTATTTTGTGTCCTAATGAAATAACTTATAGCATAAGTTGGTTGATATGTTCCTTGCAAAGGATGCTTTTATTTAATGCCTTAGCACAAAATCATCCTTCCAACATATTAACATTTAATTGTTTCAAACACTGCAAGGAAGGCTGGTTTATAATCAAAACCCTGATAACATATTAATCATTTCTCCCTTTTCTTCATCTGGAAGTGAATTTGCATGAGACATATGGGTAAGGTTAAAACTCCATCTGAAAGACATGATGACACTGTAATGAAGAGAGATCACAGAGGATGATGATTACGTGTAAAAATTCAGTTTACTTCCTTTTAGTTTCTAAACAGTTTTTAAGTTAATCACATTAATCTTTTTCTTTCCACGGTAACAGTAGAAACATTTAATTCCATGACGGAACCATTTAATTGCCTGACATTTTTACCAGTAATTGGATAGATTCCAGAATTTGAGTACAACCACTTTATAATAGCTGTTGATTGGGGGTATAAATAATAATATTGTATTATGTTCTTCATGGAAGTTGTATAAACAAATGGGATGAAGTGCTGACCCCACTGAAGTCAATTATAATGTTCACGTTGACTTCTCTGGGTCCAGGATTTCATCCAGGGTACCTTACCTGAAAGGGCGTATAGTCTGAAGCCCCATCCTTCAAAAAAACCTTGCAAATATGCTTAACTGAATGGACTGTTGGGCCCATCAAGGTCAATGGGACTCACTGTACATAACAGTATTTTTGTCTAAGGTTGAAGAATCAGGACCAATATACCTGAAGGTCAAATTCTATCCATTGCTTTGAAGTATACTTGAAATAGTGGCTTTAGGAATTAATCACTTTGACTTTCCTTTGTCAATCGTTTGTAGCACCCACCTAAAGTACTGAATTCTACAACATAGTTGAGGTCACTTTTTAAATAGAAAACAGATTTATACAGAGCTGTGTTCATACTGAACATATATAGATGAAAGTACCATCTAGCATGATTAATTTCCCTGCTGATTGATAGCAGGAATTAACACCTCCATATTGGATAAATTAAGATAATCTGAGACTTCTGCATTTCAGATTTTAACCAATTAAAAGTTTAAAACATGTTTATTGTGTAGGCGATTAGAAGGAATGGCAGGGATGCTATATGTGACTGTCAGCAATGAAAGATACCCTACATTTGGGGGAATGGTCAGGAGCTGTTATTACTGTGTTGAATCCAGGTCTTTTTCAGGAAAACAAATAGTGAAGCTGGGAGTATTTGAGGAATATGGTGTACTCCACTTTGAAGCACACCAGATACATGTACATTCTGCTTAATGGTGTAACCCACTGCCAGTCACTGAGTGTTGCATATTGCTTATATTATATTAAAGACTTACCTGCATATCAGTTAAATGCATAAATCTTTTGAAGTATGAAAGATTTTCAGGCCCCATAGTCTACTTTATAGCTTAAACACATGTTAACTGCATTGTAACTGTATTTGCATCTGTCTGCTTTATAACTAACTGAAGTCCATATAACTGCCAGAGAGAGTGAAGAGGAGGCAGCTGTCAGAGTGATGCTATTAGAGCCTTGAATGTCAGGGGAACTAGTCAGTTTTTAAACTGCTAACGTAACTGCCTTCACTTCACCATAAACAATGCTAAGTACACTGCCTTCTCAGTACTGATATTAGCAGTTGCAAAAAAGACTATCTTCTTTCATTTTCTAATAGGTTTGTAATAATCAATGTCAGGTTTTGAAAATGAGGGGGAACTAATCAGTTTCAAAATCGCAAATATCACATTACTTACAGTGCTGTATATTTAATATGCAGTGATTGATTTATATGAAATTGAGAGAGATGCATGTTTCAGGTAAATCCGCATTCTTTTTTTCAGTCCCAATGATGTGCACTTCATGGAGTCCACTGCAGTGAACTGTCTAAAAAATGGAGCTTAGGGAATGGGGAGGAGTGAAACCATTAATGAATTCAAATCAAATTATGCCAAATGGCTAAGTGGCTGAAAAAAATGGGAGTCAGGGGGAAGCCCAAGAGGAATGTCAATAGAGATTTTTTCCCAATATCTTTTAAATTAAATACTTTGTTTTAGACATGCCAACATTTTTCATTTTGACATTTTTTTTAAAGGAATTGTTTGTTTTACTTTACTTCAAAAGGAAAAAAGTAAATTAAAAGATTTAAAAGGTTAAAAGAAGATTCAGAAGAAAAAAAGGATTTCATTTCAGGTCCTTTCCTTTGCCCAACTCTATTCAAGCACATATTTAGAAGAAGGGGTGTTTTGTAAATAGTATGAAAAAGTGAGCACATCACATGCTTTAAAATTTACACTGCCGAGTTTTTGAAAAGGCACAGGTGGTGATAAGCTGCTATTAAATTCATGTTACGTATTTACCAGTTGCAACATTTTAAGGAATGGTGAAATTACTTCATTCCAATTTAAATATACATTGAAAAATTATAATTATTGTAACTAGGAGACTGAAAGTCTACATAGTTATCAATAAAAGGCTTGATACATAGTTAAAAGGATTTCCTTAATTCATTGCAGGTAACTTCTTTCTATTAAAACAACAAAACCAAATAATATCATGCCTTTTAAAAAGTCATAGCTGCGTGCAGGTGAGCAAATATACTAGACCTCTAGAGACTGGCAGGAACATCCATTCAATTTGAAATAAATATATTTTCTGAAGATTATTTTTTACCAAGCTCCTCTTAATAATGCTGTTGACCTGCTCCAGTAATCATGCTTGCAGCTTACCTTTCTCTTTGTTACTGGGATTGAAAAGTCACTCAAGAAGAGCTCCCTCAAGGCCTTTCATTTAGGATCTTACATACTCAGTACCATCCAGGATTGAACCGTTGTGCAGTAATTCTCCTCCAGAGCTTCTTATCTTATCCGATCCAGGTTTTTGTTGCTGTCTGTCCAACAGCCCAAATTCTCCTTTCATAATTTTGCTTGTGCTGTCAAATTTTCAGTTTCCAAGGAGTTTTCTCACTATTATCTGGCTCTCTGACAACCTCTGCTGTACCATCTGTGTAGAATAAAGTTCTGTTCAAGTTGGACAAAAGCAGATTTTTTTGGAAACAGAGACATTGTATTAATGTGCCAGTAGCTTACTGCTTCTTCACATTTAGAGACTGGAGGGAGGGATAAATCTTAACTAAAATGCCAGAATATATTATCAAGTAACATGAATATTGCATACATACGCTGTCACCCCATTAAACTGTATGGCCATAATTCTGAGAGTAAAGTTCCACATGTTACAGGTAGTTGAAAACACCTTTAAACAAAAATGCCCCCTTTCTAAATAAAAAATGTCGTTATTTCAAATTTTTCTCCTTTTGGATGAAGAATCAGGTTTGTTTTCCATTTTTATATATTTTAAATAACTAATTAGAATAGTGTTTCATTTTGTTGTTTTGCATAATGATTTCCAACATAGGAAAAACAAGGGGGTCATTGTTTTTAATGAATAAAATGAAGGCTAAACCTTTGAGTTTATTGTATTTATAATTTTTCAGTTTTTTAAGTATGGAAAGTGATGTCCTGAGTAGTAGTACCCTGCCTTAGTCATTTCCTTTGATCAGGCATATTTCTTTTTTTATGAGACACAATGTTGGTACTTGAGTTAGATTGAGCCCTGGCTGGAAACAAAGAATATCATGTCAGAGAAGCAGGAAGGGGCATTTAAGCTGCTTTAAAGGTCAATTTTATGGCATGTACAACCCCCCCAATTGTTCAAATGCATCTACTCTGGGTAAAAGCATTGACAGATATTGTCCTGGGGTGTTCCCTTCTATTTATTTATTATCTTTCAGAGATTCATGTACAATATTTCTTATCCTTTGATTTTGTTTTATAGAGAAATGGTCAATGCATGGTTTGCTGAGAGAGTTCATCCTATCCCAGTTTGCAAGGAGGGAACCAAAACCCACAGTGAATCTTGCTCTTGCTCTGCTCAACTGTTTACCTGTGCTGAGATCACCAACCCTGGTACCCCAGCTAGGAAAATCTCTGCCTCTGAATTTGATAGGCCTTTAAGACCTATTGTTGTCAAGGACTCTGTAGGAACCGTGAGCTTTCTCTCAGACTCTGAAAAGAAGGAACAGATGCCTCTACAATCTCCAAAGATTAGGACTGATATAGGAGATCAGTGCTCAAGACTCTTAGAACTAGTGAAAGATATTTCTAGCCACTTGGATGTAACAGCTCTTTGCCACAAAATTTTTCTGCACATCCATGAGCTTATAGCTGCAGATCGCTATTCCCTTTTCCTGGTCTGTGAGGACAGTTCCAATGAGAAATTTCTTGTCAGCCGGCTGTTTGATGTTGCAGAAGGTTCCACCTTGGAAGAAGCTTCCAACAATTGCATCCGCTTGGAATGGAACAAGGGGATTGTGGGACACGTAGCAGCCTTGGGCCAGCCTTTGAATATCAAGAATGCATATGAGGTAACTATGAAACATTGTAAAATTGAAAATGTGGCTGTTATAATTTAGGACTAAAATGTGAGTGTACACAGTATTAGCCAGTATCTGATACTCTGTTGTGAACAATTGTAGAAAATCTAAAGCTGTATATAACTGGGCAAAGTGGGATGACTTTGAGTGCAGGAATATTTAGGCTGAAGATCAGGGTAAAAAAACTGATAATAAATTCTAACAGTCTGTGGAAAAGCTACTGAAAAGATGTGGTAGAAAACCTGTAAGTGATTTAAAATTCAACAGGACAAACCAGAGATTCACAGTTCGAGTGGCCATTCACAGTTCGAGTGGCCAAGGTCTGGAACGGGCTCCCAAGGGAGGTGGTGCTCTCCCCTACCCTGGGGGTCTTCAAGAAGAGGTTAGATAACCATCTAGCTGGGGTCATCTAGCCCCAGCCCTCTTTCCTGCCTATGCAGGGGGTCGGACTCGATGATCTATTGAGGTCCTTTCCGACCCTAGCATCTATGAATCTATAGTGGCACTTCATTTTAATCATGGCAAAACACAGATTTTGGGGATTTTAATCAGAAAAAAAATGATTTTTTTAACAGAGAAAACTAGGATCCCTGTTCATTAGGTAGATCAGTTCAATTAACTGGGTAACTAAATCCTTGGATGATGGTGTCACCATGGACATAATCTTTCTAGACTTTAAGAAGGCCTTTGACACTGTCTCTCAACCCATTCTCATTAATAAATTAAGCAACTGTGGCATTGATGCCTACATAGTTGGATGAGTAAAAAACTGGCTGATGGGGTGCACCCAGAAAGTAGTGGTGGATGCGTCATACTCAACCTGGTGAGATGTGAGCAGTGGGGTCCCCCAGGGCTCAGTCCTCGGGCCTGCACTGTTTAATATCTTCATGAGCAACTTGGACAAGGGGGTTGAAAGCACATTGTCCAAGTTTGCTGATGACACTAAGATGTGGGGCGAGGTGGACACACTTGAAGGGAGAGAGAGGCTGCAAATAGATTTAGACAGACTACAAAAGTGGGCAGATGAGAACAGGATGGGGTTCAACATAGATAAATGCAGGGTGCTGCACCTTGGGGGAAGGAATCCACAGCATACATACAGGATGGGGAGTTCCCCTCTTGAAAGCACAGAGGTGAAAAGGGATCTTTGAGTCATTATTGACTCCAAGATGAACATGAGCTACCAATGCCAGACCGCAGCTAGCAAGGCCAGCCATACCTTGTCATGCATCCAAAGGTGCATCTCAAGCCAGTCCAGAGAGGTGATACTCCCCCTCTACGTGACATTGGTAAGGCCTCAATTGGAGTACTACATCCAGTACTGGGTGCTGCACTTTAAAAAGGATGTGGCCAGCCTGGAGAGGGTTCAGAGGAGGGCCACCCGCTTGGTGAGAGGGCAGCAGGACAGGCCATATGAGGAGAGACTGAGGGACCTGAACCTGTTCAGCCTCAGCAAGAGGAGGCTGAGGGGGGACCTGGTGACTGCCTACAAACTCATCAGGGGAGATCATCAACAAATAGGAAAAGCCCATTTCTCCCCAGCACCACCTGGGGTGACAAGGAACAATGGTAATAAGCTGCTGGAGAATAGGTTTAGGTTAGAGATCAGGAGGCAATATTTTAGTCAGGGTGGCCAGAATCTGGAACCAACTTCCCATGGAATTGTTCTTCACCCCTACTTTGGGTAAATTCAAAAAGGGTTTACACAATCACCTGTCTGGGGTCTTGTGAACCCAGCATTCATTCCTGCCTGTGGCAGGGGGTCAGGCTAGATGATCTTTCAGGTCCCTCCTGACCCTAGCTACTATGAAACTATGAATTATAAGCCTACCATAATAGGGCAGATTTTTGTGTTTCTAAAGTTAGTGATCAAAGAAATTTTCCCAACTGGAATTATACCAATGATGATGTGCAGAATATTACTTCTAACTGATTACCTCTTAATCATTCTGAGTGGATTTTTCCAAAGTCATAATGATTTTTGTAAGCAGTGTTTCTCAGCAGCTTCACATAGGATGGGTATAAAATAGGCCTTAACTGTTGTTATACATAAGGAAGCTGATAGGTCCCTATCCAGGTAAGCGCACAGATGCTTAGTTTTAAATACATTACTTCAGTTGGACTACTGGAGTGCTTAATGCCACACACATACTTAAATATTTTCCTGAGTTGGGGCTGTAGCTCTGAATCAGATATTGAAATCAGACTTTGCCGACTTAAAAACTAGTCTTTAAGAATACATTGCTGCTTTTTAATATGATAAAAATGCACTTAATATATTGTAATGATACATAGTAAAAGAAAAATAAATGGAAAGGAAAGATAATTGATCCAGTCCCACCATTTTGTAACTGAGCTTTTTGATATTCCCATTGCTGTGTGTATACATGCAAAAGGAATCTTTAAAAAAATTTTTTTTACTCATGGTGTGCATGACAGATATAATACCAATGAGTTTCTGATGTAACAGAATTCTTTTACACACTTTAAAATGAGTATTTGAGGCTGGGATTTAAAGGGGACGTGCTCAGTTTCAAGTACATTTGATTGCTTAATTCCACTAGGCTCCTTTTGAAAATCCAGGCCGTGGTGACTTGATGTTTGATGATTATAAAAATGACTTGGCAGTTGAGTCGCATTGAAATCACCTCCTTGCAGTAGTAATGCAAATAAAAATAGTGATTTTTATTTGCACACAGTAGAAACTGAATTCTTTTTCTTCTGACTTTCTGGTCAGTGTATACCTTACACTTGAAACCATTTCTTCTCTACCCAGCGCTACAGTTATGCCCTCATGGAAGAAAGATCTTTTGGTTTTAATAGCTCTTATCTTAGTATAGGCCACATACAGACATTCATTTTCAATTGGGGGGTTGCTGTTCTCCCAGGAGAAATCACAAGTATAGAGATGTCCAGGATTTTTCTTCCAGAGCACAGATTGCCGCTCCAGAAGAAAAATAATCTGGGAACAACCAGGGTTAAATCACTCTCAGAAGACCTTCTCCTTAGAGACCAAATGTCTGTACAACATACCTTGCTGAAAAAAGCCATGTCACAATCCTCCAGCATCCCAAGGTGCTTTGCCCCTATCCCTTCCTTTCCCCCTGCCCCCTCCCAAGACAGTGTGTCACTCTGGCTGGACTATACTACTCCAGCCAGGTAGGGAAAAGAACACACCCTCTTTATAGTCTTCACATTGTGCTGCAGGGAGACACAAGCTGTCCAGGTCAGCTGATCAGGACTGCCCTGTATACTGCTGCCACCTGTCTCCAGGCAGACTGAGGGAACCTGCAGAGAAAGGGTGCTGAGATGTGTGTATTAGAGGGGAAAGGGGGCGGGGGGGGGCGCAGCTTTTCAGTGTCAGCACTGAAAGCTCCTTGATCTTCAGGGTCTCAGCATTCAGATGTCTCCACCTAAGATTTTCTACCAGGCGAACAAACCAAGGAGAATTCTTCCAGATCATTTGAACATATATACATAGCCACATAATCCTATAAAAGCTCTACTGCTTGAAGTTTGTCTTCTCACTTCTGTGCTGACACCATTCTGGTCCATCATTTTAGATTATTATATTTATACAATATGAATATAAATGGATATGGATTTTTTTTTGGTTTTGTTTTGTTTTTTTTGTTTGTTTTTTTTTAGTGCCCATTTTACGGACATTATAAATGCATTCTGTAGCAGTAATGATGAGTTGTTAGTAATTGATTATTTTTCCTTAAAGGACTGGCCCTCTCTAAAGCTGCAGGGCTGGACTTTTTATTGATCAAGGGTAAGTTTATTCAGGAGCTTGGTTCTATCTGGGAACAGCTTTTAACAGTGAAAAAAAGACTTTTCTAATATTTGGGAATAGGTTTCTATGAAATATATTCCCAAATGTGTGTTCTTATATGTGTTATTGTTGGCTTTAGATCCAAAATAGAAATCCTGACATCATGCATTTCAGGACCTCTTTAGCCATGACTATTTTTCTGAATGGTTTGGTAATTTCTTGTGAGGATGGAAATGGGGCAGAAATAGTTAACTTGCACATACAGCTATTATAGTAAATATCTAGGCTGGAAAAAGCTTTACCTAAGTTTGTTGCATTTTCCAACCCTTACATTATCCACAAGTGCTTATATTATACATAAACAGTTTATTTTCTACAACATTTCCTATCATTCAATATGTCAGTACTAACTTTTATATTTACATAGTTACTATCTTCTAATGGAAACATTGTTGCCCTGGGTAACAGTTATGTGAATGTTGGAATTCCTCTAGCCCTATAAACTGTAAGGAAGGAAAACAGTCTTTGAGCAAGTGGGTAATTTAATTACATTTTTTTTTCCCCTACAAGGATCCCCGATTCAATGCAGAGGTCGACCAGATCACAGGGTATAAGACACAGAGTATTCTTTGTATGCCAATAAAGAACCACAGGGAAGAGGTAAGTTGCAATACCTGGATCATCTTGTACAACAGTGTTTCTAGCTGTGTTACTCTTTCAGCTGTACATCGTTATCACACAATACAAAATATGAAATAGATTTGCCTGGGGTTCTATGACAGATATTTTTATGCTCTCCTGTTCACTGATGCAAACCAAATGGCATTGGTCAGAAGAACTTGGATTCAGATCAGTGAAAGGACTTAGGTGCTTGAAATGAGACTTTTTATTTAACTTTCTCTCACTGAATAAACTAGCTAAATTATTGTCTAATTAAATTGGGACTAATGGCCCTGGCTAACCCAAATGATCAAATAGATCTTCCTTTCCTACCTATAACTTGTGTTCAAAATAGTTGTTTACTGCTTTATTTATCATTAGAAATTTACACTCCATGGCCACACATTGATCATGCTTTTGATACTGTTATCCCAGTCAAACATCCATTCCCGCTTTGGGATGCTGGTTGGCAACAGTTACAGTGGCATTGAACTAGTTAATGAGCAAATAGAACTCCACCATGCTGTGATATCTGACAGAGTGGTGGTAGCACATGTGACTGATACAAGGTGAAGGCTCTATATTTTGCTCAGATTTCTTTTTTTCTACATATAGACAGAAACAACACAAGAATGCTATATACTGAGTACTTGAAATCATAAATTCGTGGCCAAAATTCAGCTGGCTGTGGTATAGGTGTTTTACTACTTGCCCACTCCTCCTGATACGTGAGGGAGAATTAGGTACCAGTAGTCCCTACTCGGATACACTGGCACTGATTTAATGGTTTGAATGAACCTATAAAGTCTTAGCTGAGTTTCTCTTTCTAAGTGAAACAGCACTTCTAGTTGAACTAAAGCAGTCACTTCTTTTTTTTAAAACATGGAAGACAAACCAACATATTAACTAACTGGCAAAGGCTGAAGTGGAAAGAAAATTGTGTGTTACATTCTCTCCTATTTGCATGAATTTTGAGGGCCTAGAATATCTCTTACAGCACTTTTTTTTAAGTCACTAACCGTAAGGTTTTTATCACCCTCGCCATAATGCTGAACTGACACGTTTCTGGAATGAGAGTTTGATTCAG